ATGACTTTGTAGGCAATGGATCAGGTAATGGGTGGGGGGCTATTGTGTAGGGTGTAGCTGGAAGGAGAAACCTGGAAAAATCAAAGAAAAGACTTGGGACTAGGCGATTGCCTCAGTGGTAGAGTACAGTGCTTGCCTGGCACATTCCAGGCTCTGGTTCCATCTCAAGTGTCCTGAAAAGCAGAACTCAGAACTCAGAACAAAGACTGGAAGTTAGAAAAGGCCCACATTAGCAAGGAGGGAAGAGGGGGTTGTAGCTAGCGGAAAAGAGACTGGGGACCTGCAGCTGGGTGAGTCCCAGTGACCTTGGTCATGGCCAACTCTGACCACAGGCAGAAACCAGATCCTAGGGAGTGATTAGAAGGAGCAGGAGCCGGGCGGTGGTGGTGCAAGCCTTTAATCCCAGCACTTGGGAGGCGGAGGCAGGCGGATCTCTGTGAGTTCGAGACCAGCCTGGTCTACAAGAGCTAGTTCCAGGACAGGCTCCAAAACCACAGAGAAACCCTGTCTAGAAAAAAAACCAAAAAAAAAAAAAAAAAAAAAAGGCGCAGGGGGACAGGAGCCATAGGCATTCTTTGGAGGAGATGGCCGATAAGAGGGCAGGATGCTCATGAGCTAGGGCCTGCTTGCGCGGGATGCTTGGGCAAGGATGCAGTTTGAAGAAGGCATGGATCTCCTTGGGACTGTGTACCTATTAGGTAGGTGCACAGTCTGTGCCAGAGTGATCTTTTTCTTCCCCGGTGGCTCCTTAGTCACCGAAGTGCCAGCTAATAGTCAGCCTTTCATAACTACCGAGCACCCAACTGTGTACCAGATGCTGTTTTTGGTTTGGGGATACCACTGAGAAAAGGCAGCTGGGACCTTTGCTCTCAGGAGAACCACGAGTGTGTGCTAGTTAGAAAGGCGGCGGGGGCGGGGGGGGGGGGGGGGTCTGCCGAGGGCTGAGATGAAGGCAGGGTCAGGGCTTTTCTTTGGGCTGCAAGTAGCAGCCAGACACGTGGAGCTGGTGGGTGGCTATGCAGGTTGCTGCCTCTGTGTCTGGGGTTAGGTGGCGTAGCTACAGTTCAGCTGGGAGGGAAAGTTGGGTGTGGCAGGGGAAGGGAAAATGGTGATCTAGTTGGTTTCCCTGTTGCTGTGATAAATCCTGGCCAAAAGCAACTTGTATGTGAGCAGTGTGTGTGTGTGTGTGTGTGTGTGTGTGTGTGTGTGTGTGTTTCACATGTTATAGTCTATCATCAGGGAAGCCAAGGCAGGAATCAAGGGAGGAGCCTGGAGGCAGGAACTGAAGCAAAGACCACAGGCCCACTTGCCTAGGAATGGCACCGCCCACAGTGGGCTGGGCCCTTCTGCAGCAACCAATAATCAACAAAAACCACGCAGGGACACAGTCTGATGGAGGCAATTCCTCAATCTAGGTTCCTTCTTCCCAGGTGTTTCTAGGACCGAGCCAAGCTGACAAAAACTGCCTAAGGAAAATGGGAAGCTCCCGCACGCGTCTCCCGTGACCTCCGACCTCGATGCCCAGGGTGTCATGCTGGAGAGATTGGCACCCTTCACCAACAGAGTTCTCCGGACTCGCCCAGGGCTGGGGAAATTGAAGGGAAAGATGGCTGATGGGGGGCGGTGGCTTTTCACCACCGAGATGGGCCAGTGACAAGGGCCACACCTGCTAGCACATAGCAGTCGCTGCTTCGTTCCCAGGCCTGATCTCACACAAACGCATCTTGCTGCCCCTCTCTCCCTCCATCCCGAACAGCCCCAGCACCACCCAGGGAAGGGGATTTAGGGGATGTGGTTCACTGCGTTCTGAGTCCCTACTGTTCCTGCGCAGTTTGAGCCCAGAGTGTGTGTGTGTGTGTGGGTCACGTGGCCTGTGGTGACAGGGGTGGGTGTTACTTTAGAACAGGTGGGTGGGGAAAGCCCCTTTTGGAAGTGGCTTTTGCAATAAGACCTTGGGAAGAGAGTTGGCATGTTTGGGGGACTTGGAACTTGGAGTCAGGTGAAGACAGAAAGGGACTCTGGGCCAGTGGGAACATAGCAGGCAACGCATCTCACGGGCCAGTCCAGAGAGCTGGATTCCGTTCTGGCTGTTAAGGCGAGAATTCAATGCAGGGTGGCTGCGTCCTTTCTGAAGCTTGTCTGTGCTACTGGCCAGAGCAATGGGCGCAGGGCTAAGACTGGAAATAGGGTGCTCAGATCTGGGAGGGACTTCAAAGGTGACTCAGACTGAGGTAGGACTGAAAAGAGGCATCAAAAAAGTCTCAGCCTGTGGGAGGGGCTTAGCTCAGTTGACAGAGTGCTTTTCTAGCATGAGCAGAACTCTGGGTTCAATTCCCAACACTGCATAACCCAGGGAGAGCCATGCACTCTTGTGATTTCAACACTTAGGGGGACTGGAGGCAGGGGGGTCAGGAGTTCAGGGTCAGGTTCTAGGCTAGCCTGGGCACTATGTAAGAGCCTATTTCAGAAACAAAAAAGAGACAGTTTTAATCTTGAACTCCTTTGATAACTGCTTCCGAGCAAGGCTGTGCCTTCCCCAGTGGCCTCTGCCCTCCTGCCCTCCCTGAACCCATCGCTTGCAATTTCTCCGGTATGGAGGCTGACTGCACTGACCCTTCCCTACTGTTCCCAGCCTCAGGGCTTCTGACAGCTCCGCACCTCCAGCAACCTGTGCCTTTAAGATGGGCCAAATGCACTCCTCAAAAGTCCTACCACAAAGCGAGACCGAGAGAGACAATAATAAGAGCAAGAAGCAGCCTGGGGGGAGGGGGGCAGGGCGGGGAATGATTTTTATTTTCCCAACCTTGCAAGTTCCCCTCAGCTCCAAAGCCATAGAGAGTTCTCTGAGAACAAATGAGTAATAACCCAGCCAAAAACACCTTCCTCGGAGCAGAGGGAGAAGACGGAGGGATTCTGGGTTTGATTAGAATTTTACTTCCAACCTGCAACCTCCCTGGTGCCAGCCTCCTACGCTCACCACCCCAGCCGAGCTTGAGCTTCGCTGCCCAGAGGCCGGAAGAGCTGGCAAGTGGGGAGGAGTGGGGCCCTTAGGCTCCTGAAGCTTCTGGGGGACCTCTAAGTGGCAGGAATGGGAAGGAGGTGAATCCTCCACCTGCTTCTCCAAAGAGGAAGGTTACAGGGGCATCTTGCAAGGGCTTAGGCTCTGTTTATGGCTAGAGCAAGTGGGCAAGCTTGGAACAGAGTTTGTTATGTGATCTGAGCCCCTGGAACCTCTCTCTTTCGCTCCTTCCTTCCCTCCCTCCCTCCCTCCCTCCCTCCCTCCCTCCCTCCCTCCCTCCTTCCTTCCTTCCTTCCTTCCTTCCTTCCTTCCTTCCTTCCTTCGCAGCGTCTTATATATCCTATAACTTACTATGTAGCCAAGGCTGCCTTTGTGTACCACCTTGCCAAGCTTACCTTCTTGTGGTTGGCATGGGACAGGAAGGGGACCAGGGACAAGGCTGCACTATCCAGATTTTGGGGTAAGGGCTCTGCCCTTCAGGACCATCTCTATGATACTGGGGTAAATCCCACCAGATCCCTCTCTCCTGTCCCTCTGCCATCCACACCACCATCTGTTCCCTCACTCACTGCTAGCCCCAGGTCCATGAAGGATGCTGTGTTAGGGCATTACACTAGGGTAGAGAAGAACGAGGACCTCAGGAATGACAGTTTTTATACCGAGCTCCTCTGACCCTGCTCCTGGAAATGGCTGTGCCTTCCCTGGTGGCTCCTGCTCTCACACATCCTCCTGGGTATTAGGGGACACTAGGGACACTCAGAGGACGCTTCCCAGTGAAGCTGCTATCTAAGCTGGGGCCCCCATGCTATTTATTTAGCCTTTTGAGATAGGGTTTATCTGTGTAACAGTTCTGAATTTCCTGTAACTCATTTTGTAGACCAGGTTGGGCTTGAATTCACTGAGCTCTGCCTTCCTCTGCCTCTGCCTCCAGGGTGCTGGGGTTAAAGGCCTGCACCACCACCACCTGGCTTGTCAATTTGACGCTAGCTCGGGTCATCACCAGGGAACCTCACTTGAGAAGATGCTCCCATTAGTCTGGTCTGCAGGCACACCTGTAGGGGAATTCTCTTAATTCATGATTGATGTGTGAGGACTCAGCCTACTTGGAAAGTGCCAACTTGGGCAGTGGTCCTGGATTATATAAACACAACGAGCTGAGGAAGCCACGAGAAGCTGGTGAGTAAACAGTTGGTAAGTAAATACGGCCTCTGCTTAGATTTTTGACTTCAGGTTCCTGCCCTGAATTCCTGCTCTGACTTCCCTCAATGACTGATAATGATCAATCACAGTGTAAGCCAAATAACCCCCCCCTCTCCACCCTCCCCACCCCAACCCCACGCAGGCTGTTGTGGGCATCAGCAATAGAAAACAAACTGGGACAGGTCCAAAGAGTGATTAGGAAGGAGGAAGGAGCAGAAATGAGGAAGAGAGCAGGACCTGCTGAGAGGAGAAATGAGAGCAGCCAGGCTTGGTGGCAGGGAAATAGGTGGTCTGATGGGAAGGGGTCTGTGTGGGTGGAGGGGAGTTCACACCCCATCATTCAGAGTCCCCACTGGTCTCAGCGGCATCTCTCTAGGAGGTTAACTATGGCCAGGGACGTCTCAGGACTTAGGGCGCTTCCATAACATTCAGGTCCTTAAGGCCTCCATTCTTAGGGTGTCACTGTCCTAGTCCTGTTTAGAAGGCGTGCAAGGGGCACTAGACTCCCCTGGCTTATGTCTAGTTTCCGGGAGCTTTGTCTACTCGGTGTCTCCCTGGAGTTGTCTTTGTACAAAGTCACATGCTTTGTTTTTGTTTTTGTTTTTTTGAGACAGGGTTTCTCTGTGGTTTTGGTTCCTGTCCTGGAACTAGCTCTTGTAGACCAGGCTGGTCTCGAACTCACAGAGATCCGCCTGCCTCTGCCTCCCGAGTGCTGGGATTAAAGGCGTGCACCACCACCGCCTGGCTAAAAGTCACATGCTTTGCCTGAGCAGTTCTGACCCAAGTACACGTGTAACATGGCAGAGAAATTGCAAGTGTCCCCCTGCCTAGTCCTGTTCCCCTACCCTTCTTAGGAGTCCTCTATGTAATGACACCTAGGGTATCCCTTGACCCTCCTAACAGTCTTTTGACAGAGACACCCTGATTAAACCCTGACCCCCGGGTAAACCACGGAGGAAAGAGCTTCAAATCTGTTTGCAGCTGCACTGGGAGGAACTGACAGAACCTGGATTTGAACACAGGGCAGCTGTCTAGAAAACCCCAGCCCCTAGCCGCCACAGGGGCCTCAACCAACCACGAACAGGCAGTCAGCAAAGGATGACAAGCTAAAACATCCTCTCCTGCCTCAGGATTGTAGTTGAGGGTGATTACGTGTGGATCCCCCATGTTCTCTGAGGCCTCGTGTCCTCCAGTCGTACCAGTAGCCAAGATAGTAGCTCTGGCGGCAACCGCATCTTCATGCTCCCCCCAGCATGCCAGCATCTCCGTGGAGAACAACACCTCCCTCAGCCACCCACTCCCCAGCTGCTCCTCAAACACCATTGTTACCACCACCGGGGTGGGTGTGGGTGGGTGTCATCGCCTGTGAGTTGCCTCACATGTGGATAGAGCAGCTGGGAAACCTGCTGAGGGGAGGGGTGATCCACTCAAACGGGACCTCACCCTCACTTAGATCCTTGAGTGACCCCCAGACCCCACAGGACTCAGGTTTCTGGCCAGGCTTGAGCTGGGGAAGGGAGAGTCTTCCATATGATAAGACCGGGGCTCTAGTCTTAATGCACCCCCAGGCTCAGGAGTATTCTCCTGGCTTCTCTGGGCCCCAGTTTTCCTTCTAGAGATAGCCAGCGGGCTTCCGGGGCCTTCCAGAGCTGGTGTGTGGAGCTCACTTCCATGTGAGTTCCCAAAGGGCTTGAATCATCTTTCCTCACGGCTGAGAATGGATTCAGAGCTCTGCAGCTGTATCTGTCTGCACAGATAGGGTCTCATTTAGCTCAATAACTGGACAGTGTCACCCTCCTGGTTAAAACAAAGCACGGGAAATGGAAACAACCTTCCTTGAGTGGCATCCTGTCTTTGGAAAACTCTTGTTTAGGGCTGGAGAAATGGCTCAGGTGGTAAAGCCCTGGCAGCCTGAGGGTCTGAGTTCAGATGTTCAGTACTTATATAAAAAGCCAGGCAGGCCGGGCGCTGGTGGCGCACGCTTTTAATTCCACACTCGGGAGGCAGAAGCAGGCAGATCTCTGTGAGTTCGAGGCCAGTCTGGTCTACAGAGTGAATTCCAGGACAGCCAGGGCTACACAGAGAAACTCTGTCTTGAAAAACAAAAACAAGGCTGGGCGGTGGTGGTGCACGTCTTTAATCCCAGCACCCGGGAGGCAGAGGCAGGTGGATCTCTGTGAGATGGAGGCCAGCCTGGTCTACAAGAGGTAGTTCCAGGACAGGCTCCAAAGCCACAGCGAAATGCTATCTTGAAAAACAAAGCAAACAAACAAAAATGAAAAAAAGAAAAACAACCCCCCCCCAACAAACAAACAAACAAACAAAAAATAAAACAAAGAAAAGCTGCCATGTAGGTGCTGGGAACTGAACTCGGGTCTTCTGGAAGAGCAGCCCACATTCTTTAACCGTTGAGCCATTTCTCCAGCCCCTCCTAGTCTTCTAACCTGGATTATGCTGCATTTAAGACTAAAACCTAAATCACCAACCGATAAGGTCAATGTTGTAGGAGCTTGGGGACATTGGGTCCCCAGTTTGGGATTGCCTGTTAAGGGTGAGGAGGAGCTCCCACAGAGATGACTGGGCCCGTTCACCTTGCGGGCAAGTGCTCAAACTGTGTGTGTGAGGTGGAGACAGGTTCCTGTATATATTCTCCCATCGCGGTAGCACAGGAGGTCCAGGGAGGAGGTGAGGCTGAGCAGCAGGGACGAAGGAGGACGTGTGTTCTGAGAAATTTGGGGAATTAGCTCTGAGGTTGCTCCAAGGAAAAAGTGATGTTTTGAATCAAGAGTTATTATATGTCTGAGCGCGAAGCTTTTTAAAGAACACCGTGTTTACTTAACAGTTGTGTTTATAGATTTACTTATACCTGGCTTGACTTCAAACAGAATCCGAAGCAGGTAATTATTCAATCAGATTGTGAACTCCTAGAAGGCAGGAAGTGTTGTCCCCCCTGTCTTCTGAAAGGCTAACTCCCACTCCCCATCCACCTCCCCACAAGCTGCATTCTTGGTCGAAATAATCTGGGTCTGTGCCTTTGTTCTTCATAGAAGTGCGATCTCAGCCAGTACATATATCATACATGTATCCATCTGTGCGTGTATTCACTCAACATGCCATTTACCCACCAGTAAACCAAACATCCATGCAACCCATGCAACCTAATGTCCATCTACACACTTATACACCATCTCTCCATCCAACAAATCCTCGATCACCAAACAAAACACCCAGCTAGCCAAATACCTAGCCAGCCTAATGCTCATTCATGCCCACCCACTTCCATCTATACATTCATCCGTGTGTCCATATATTTGTCTAACCAACTATTCATCCACTTATGTATCTGTGCAATCATCCAGTAATAAAGATATCTATCAGTCATTCACCCTTTCAGAACCCCTGGAAGCTGCCCAACAAAACAAGCTTCAAGGAGCTACATTTTCCCCAGAGATCACACTTTTCCCAGAGCTGTGTGACTTGCAGAGAAGACACTAACCATTGAGTAAAGGAAACCCAAGACCCCCAAAGACTCTGTGAAAGGAGATTATTATCCCTATATTTTATATGAGAAAAGAGAATTTTAGTGACTTGTCCAAGGTCATCTTTGAATTATCTGTTTGGCTGTCTGTCTGTGTGCGTTCGTTGGCACATGTGTGCCACAGTGTATATGTGGAGGTCAGAGGGCAACTCTTGGGTTTTCTTGTCACCAAGATCATCTTTAAGGGAGGTCTCCAAAGACCAGCATCTGGTTACAGAGCCCATTATCTTTTGCTCCCTACTGGGTGGGAGAAGAGAGAGGAGCAGCAGGTTTGCAAATAGACCTGGGTAGGGGAAGGAGGCAACACTCTCCCTATGCATATCATTGCTTGATCTTCCCCCTCCTCCCCCTTCTCCTCCTCCCCTCCTCCCCATCTTCCTCCTCTTCTGTAGTACATCTTAAATTTACTCTTCTCTCACATAACACATTCCAACCACAGCTTCCCCTCCCTCCACTCCTCACAGTCCCCTCCCACCTCCCCTCTCCCCCAGATCCATGCCCCACCACCCCCAGAAAAGAGGTGTGCTTCCTACTTCTTGTTGCTCCTCCGGGGAAGGTCCTAGCCTTGCACCTGGCCTCCATCTTCTTAACTATGCGACTCTGCAGGCCATTGTACCAGGGAGGGCCTGGGAAAGCCCACTAATGCCAACAGCATTGACTCCAGAAGCCCTGGCATGTTGACAAATAGGAACTGGACTGCTTTAAACTCAAGAGGAGCCTTATGTTTCTTATAGCCTGAAGTCCATTTCCTGCTTGCTTCACCTCCCCCACCCTCTGCTCTTTTTGCCTTGTGCACTGACATCTTGTTCATTTGTCTGCTTCACTTTTCTGAGCATGAATAACAGACTCTTTTTTTGGGGGGGGTGGAAAACAATTGTTCCTCTCTCGTTCTGGTTCTAACCCCAGCCAGGGGGTGGGTAGCCACCAGGCTGGGCCAATTGTAGTTACTCAGATCATGTCTGGGTGTGGCATAGAGGTAGCTGTCACCCAGCCTGACTAAGCAGAACCCTTCTGTGGGGCTTTCTAAGCGCGGCAGATGGGGAGAGTGTCTTTTTGTGGGCTGTTCAGAGGCTTCTCAGCTCTCGGATAGGAGCCCTTCACAGCTGAGCAGTGAGCAGCCACCAAAAAGGGAGAGAGCATCTTGATGGAGCCCAAGGACTAGTGTTGCCATGGCTCCTGGGTCAACTCCAGCTGAGATACCTTTGCTTTGTTTTTAGTTCAGGGATGGGTGGGCAACCCGCTGGCCCTCTCCTTCATGCTTGAATCGGGATTCTGTCCCTCGCAGGGAGTCAGTCTTGGCACCCACATTCCCATACCAGCGACTCCCAGGTCTCCTTTGGCCGAGCCCTCTCTTTTAGTTCTGCATCCCATCACGGTCAGTTTCTTTTACTTTTTTTTTTTTTTAAATTTTATTTTCCAGACAGGGTTTCTTTGTGTGTTCCTGGCTGTCCTGGAACATGTTCTATAGACCAGGTTGGCCTTGAACTCACAGAGATCCACCTGCCTCTGCCTTCCTGAGTGCTGGGATTAAAAGAGTGCACTGCCACTGGCAGGCACAGTTTCTTAAACTCCCCTTCTCAGTCTTGGAGATTTTTTCCCTCTCTGCTCCTGGCTCACACTCTTGAGTCTCTGTTTGTATCCAGCACAGTCTTGGTTATACTACTGCTGTGTAGCCTTCAATGGCTCCCCTTTATTCTTAAGGTTAAACTTAACTTTAAGAAATGAAACTTCGGCTGGGTGGTGGTGGTGTATGCCTTTAATACCAGCACTTGGGAGGCAGAAGCAGGTGGATCTCTGTGAATTTCAGGCCAGCCTGGTCTACAGAGCGAGTTCCAGGACAGCCAGGGCTACATACTGGACTGTCTCAAAACAAAAATCAATCAAACAAACAAAAACATCCCAAACCAAACCAAACCAACCAAACAAAACTTCTGTGTCTGGAGAGAAGGTTCAGTGTCTTCAGAGCACCTGCGGGACTTTCAGAGGACCAGAATTTGGTTCTCAGGACCCACATAGAAGCTAACAACTACCAGCAACTAACTCACTCACTCACTCACTCACTCACTCACTCACTCACTAACTAACACTAACTAACTAATTAGCTAACAAGTACCTGCAACTCTAGCTTCAGAGGATCCGGTACCCTTTTCTTTATTTTATGTGTTGAGTGTTTTGTCTGCATGTATGTGTATGTACCACAAGCATGTCACATGCCGGTGGGGCTAGAAGAGGCCGTCACATCCCTTGGAAGGAGGGCTACAGAGTTGTGAGCCCACACATGAGTGCTGGGAACCAAACCTGGATCCTCTGCAAGAGCAGCAGGTGCTTTTAACCTCGGAGCCACCTTTGTGGCTCCCATATGCCTCATTTCTAATTCTTCAACCATTTCGAATTTACGGCGCTTTATCCGACTCCTTCCAGTTCTTATACAAGCGTGGTGTGGTTGTCCACACACACACACACACACACACACACACACACACACACACACACACACACCGTGCTACTAACAACAGCGTAGACATTTCCCATAGCATTTCAGCAACTTTCCCAGGGTTGTCTTGTTTCTGTCTAAGGCTCTGGTCAGGACACTAGACTGGCTTTTCAGTAGAGCACCAGAAATCCTTCACGATCTAACCTATGGCTTCCTCCAGCCTGCCCCTGGTCCCTTTTCCCCACCTCCTTCTGCTCTGGTTACCCAGATTGGACTGCACTTTCTGTAAGGGACTAGGCCTTCTTTCACTCCCGGGACGCTGCACATCTCTCCTCCTGACCCTTCCTTTTCCCTTCTAACATTTAGTCATCCCTGAGGACTGACTTGGGGTGCTCTCCTCCATGGAATCTTCCTGACCTTCTGTTATATCCCCCACCCCCCACTGAACTTTTTTTTCTCCTTTTGAGATAGGGTTTCTTTGTGTAACAGCTCTGGCTGTCCTGGAACTCACTTTGTAGACCAGGCTGTCCTCGAACTCACAGAGATCCACCTGCCTCTGCCTTCTGAGTGGTGGGAGTAAAGTTGTGCGCCACCATGTCCAGCTCCTCACGACGCCTTTTGCCCCAATTCTGATTATTGATTTCCTGGTCTTCCTGGTTATGCTGGAGCCCTCTGGGGCCAGCACCCCATTTCATTATCTCCGTGGGAATACAGTGAGATGGGAAATAGTGACTTTCACAGAAGTACTGCCTCAGGTCAGAGACAGGAGTCAGGCAGCCTAGGGAGACACCCAGGGAGGCTTGTAAGTATGGCTGTGCCGCAGGCATATTTGATGGAGTTCTTTCTATAGTGTGGGCTTTGCCATCCCCCTCTTTTTGCAGATGAAGGATCAGACACCTGCTCAGGCAGGCGCACAGCTACTAGGAGGTGGGTCACCGAACTGCTTGGTTGGCAGAGACTGCTCTAGACCTGTGCAGGTGGGCAGGCGGGAAGGTTCCAGGCTGGGGCAGCCGATGAAGCTGTCATTTTGGAAGGTGAGTCTGAGGAACCCCAGTTCCTGCAGAGCTTCTGCCAAGGGGATATGTTTTAGGTTACTCACGAACATAATAGGTGTCAGGGGTGGGGTGTGCTAGGTGGTTTTATGTCAAGTTGGCACAAGCTAGAGCCATCTGAAAGGAAAGAGCCTCGATGAAGAAAATGCCTCCTCCATAAGATCAGCTGTAACGCATTTTCTTAATTATGATTGACGGGGAAGGGCAAGAAAAGCAGGTTAAGCAAGCCACAAGGAGCAAGCCAGTAAACAGCTTCCCTCCATGGCCTCTGCATCAGCTCCTGCCTCCAGGTTCCTGCTGTGTTTGGGTTCCTGTCCCAACTTCCTTCAACTATGTACTATGATGTGGAAAAGTAAGTCAAAGAAACCCTTTCCTCCCCAAAGGCAGGGTTGGCTTTTAGCTGTGCTGTGTCATCATAGCAACAGTAACCCTGAGTAAGATGGGGAGGGGGATCTACGTGGTAATGTGGGGCCGGGGAAGAGAGGAACCCACTGCCCCGGTGATGGAGGCCACTGGTATTTGGGGATATTGCTCCTAGAATGTTCTGAGAACTGGAAGCAAGCCAAGGAGTATCTTGGGGGAGAAGGAGCACCAAGTCCCCGAGAAAGTGGAGATATGAGGGCCGGCAGGGCGGAGTCAGGACACATCTGCCTGAGCAAGCCCCTGATACTGAGTTCTAGCAATTTGGATGTTGGGGCCCCTCTGGGCACCTGCTGCTGTGTATGCTGTTTACAGTCTGGCTTCCTTGACCGCCATTGTGCATAGCTGTGCCCTATATGGCTTGTGTGTGTTGCACTGGACAAGCCCCCTTATACTTGCTGTCTTCAATGCATCCTTCCACTACCCAAACAGAATACCACATTAGTTCCACAACAACAAGATTAGGAGAGGGTGGCTGAATAGGCAAAACGACCTTCCCAAGGTCACACATTGAGAGGGGGGTAAACCAAGCATGAATGAATGCAGGCCCAGGAGCTTGGCCTGGGTCTGAGAGGCTTCTTTCCCTCTCTCATAACTTCTGAGAAGCAGCAGCTGCCACACACACTGAATGAATGAGTCGGGTTAGGAAGGGGGGAAAAGAGCCATGCGTCACAATCCCATTTGCATCCGGAAGGAGGCCTGGATCCATTGCTCAATCAACCCTCATCACAAATGTCTGAGGCCTCACTGGAGCTGGGCCTTTGGACCTGCTGGAAGTCACTAGCGGGTCACACACCTGTGCAGAGATCCAATCCTCAGATACGTGTATCTTCACATTGACTCACTGACAGCCTCCCAGGCAGGCACTTACCCATCAATCAGTTGAGGTCCTTGGAGTCTCCCCCATGCCTTAGATAGGGGTGCCCCATAAATAAATGCTGGGGAATTTGGTTTTCACTAAAGAATTCAAGAGACTGGAATTTCAGTAGTAGAGCCCACCTTCCCATTGTCTCCTAATTTTTCAGAGAAAATGTTGGACAATCTAACAGAAAAGCCCCTGAGGGACCTGGGAGATGAGGTCACCAGCACTGGGAGGGGTGGTCCCCCTGGAATCAATGCTGTGTGGAGCTTTTAGTTCTTTCTGAAAGAAACAGGTAATGTTGGCTTTGGCTGGTCTGCATCCCCCCACTTTTTCTTCTCTCCTCTCCTCTCTTCTTTCCTTTTTTTTTTTTTTTTTTGGGCAGGGTCTCCCTACCTAGCCCCAACTGTCCCAGAACTCTCTCAGTACACCTGGCTGCCTTTAAACTCAGAGCTCCACCTGCCTCTGCCTTCTGAGTGCTGGGATTAAGGATGTGTTCCACCACCGTACCTGGGTCTTTTCTTTTTGCAATTTAATTTTATTATTTTTGTATGTGCATGTTTTTTTTGACTTCATGTATATATGTGCACCATGTGCATGCCTGCTGCCCACAGAGGCCGGAAGAGGGTGTCAGATGCCCTGGAACTGGAGTTACAGATAGTTCTGAGCTGGTCGTGAACTGCTATCTGGGTTGACACTGAGCCGTCTCTACCAGCACCTCTCCTCCCTGGCTTCTTCTCCTAGGGCCAATTGCTGCCTTCAAGCTGAGCTTGAGTTCAAGTCAGTTGCCTTGCCTCAGCCTCCTGAGTGCTGTGATTACAAACAAGAGCCACCGGACCTGGTTCAACCTTACTCCCTTCTACCGTCCACTTGCACAGCAGGAAGTCTCTGACTTGTTCTCTGTGCAAGCGAGGTGAACCTTGGAGCAAAGACCAGTTTCAAATCAAGTTCAATATACTGTTTTGCTCTGTAGCTCTGAGCAACTTACAATACTTGGCCTCTAAGCCTCACCTTACCCATCTGTAAAATGGAGAGTTTAGTACCTCCCTACAGGATATGGGGAAGACTGGCCAAGATCGTTTGTCTAAAATGCCCAGCGCAGAGCCAAAGAGCTGACTCCACGGGCAAGCACTTTCTACATGATATATGTCTGCGTTTCTCTTGAGTGAGTTATGTAGGGGTAAAATTGCTGGGTCAGCTGGTGTTTGCTGAGCATGTGGTAAAAAATGCCTTGACTGTTGTACATGTGTGTCAGCATGTAGGAAAGTCCATGTTCCAGGGCTGGGATGAGACTCTGTTGGTCAAGTGTTAGCCTAGTAAGGCCGAGACAGTGTTTGGTCCCCGGCACCACATAAGTTTGCTATAGCAGCACACGTCTGTAACCCAGGATTGAGATAAAAAGGCAGGAGCATCAGTAGTTGAAGGTCATCCTTGGCTATGTGGTGTAGCCAGGCCAGCCTGGGCTACAGAAAACAGTCTGAAAGGAAGGAAGGTAAGAAAAAGTGAAGGCAGGGAGTCCACTTATCTCTCTGTCATGATTAACGCTTGAACCCAGAACTCCTGCCTAAAACGCCAAGCTGTGGAGAGACTGTGAGCTTGAGAGGGTGGTGCTTTGGTTGGGCTGCCCATCCCTGTGGGGATTTAGCCTGTTAGTGGTACACACCCCCCCCCAAGAAACTTTCAGCTCTGTGTTGTCACTTTTTACTGGGGGGGGTGCAAAGCAGAGAGCCCCCCGCCATGGGAGGGGACGAGTGTTCATTCCAGAGGGAAGAGCCGGTGCCGGCAGACTTGGTGGTGGGGGGGTGAATGCTCCGACTTTGCAGCCAGGTCAGACTGGATCCCATCCTCTGCCCACTCCCCTACCTACTAATCTTGGTTGGGACTTCCATTCTTTCTTCTATAAAATGGAGGAAAAACCTAACTCGATTACACTGGGGTGATAATTGCCTAGTCTCGACAAGTTCAAGGACTAGTCATTGATGACCTACTATGTGCCAGGGCTTCGCTGTTCTTGGTGAGGAGGAACCAGGAGGACAGAAGACAGTCCCTGCCGTTGGAGGCCATTGACAGCAGGCAGACAGATCCCAAGTAGAATCGGTGAGCGTCACCTGTGACCAGCCCAGCAATGCTAGGAGGTGTGTAGCTTTCTGCTTCAGAAGGGCTCCAGGAGAGGTGTTACTTAAGGTGATGCTTGAGAGGGGCATGATGGGAGCTGGGGGAACAGTGCCTTGGGTGTGGGAACAGCATATGCCAAAGAGAGAGAGAGAGAGAGCAGCACAGAGGAGCTGTGGACTGTTGGGGTCTGGTGAAGCCTTGAGGAGCTCTGAGCTTTCTATGAAGGGCGAGTTTCTGTTCCCTACGCTCACACCGACTGTTATTCTTCCTCTTCCCCTGACCTGCCTGAACCTCTTTGTGAAAACTCAGAGCCCAGCAGGTGCAGAGCTGGGGGCTGCAGCCAGATGAGCTGGATTTCCTTCTCCAACCTCTCAGGCAGGCCTGGCAAGCTGTGGGCACCAGCTGGTGGCTAGAGTGGTTCCGATTGAGGGTGGTCCAAGGGCCTGGCGTGGGGGAACCATCTGCTGCTTCCTATTGTCCACTGCTCCATTGTCTGGTCCACACCCTCTGCTCTAGGGACCGGGAGGAACAATGGGAGAACATGATCCCTGGGCTCTTGTTTCTAGGCTTGCCCCTGGCTCCTCTATGACACGAGGAGAACACCCTCCTGGGGCAGAGGTGGGGGTAAGGAGGTTGTGGAGGGTGGCTCTGTCAGGCACCACAGGCATCCCGCCCTCTCTCATCGCTATCTCCTTGGCAACTGCAGCTGCCACCTTGTTACAGTTTTTTTTTTTTGTCTCCTAGGTGTTTTTTTTTTTTTTCTTCCTCCTTCAGGTTCCCCCAGAGAATAGGGTGTCTCACTTTGGAAAGCAGTGTGGCGGTTTCTCAGGAAATTCGGGATCAACTTACCCCTGGACCCAGCAATACCACTCTTGGGAATATACCTAAGAGATGCCCTATCATACAACAAAAGTATATGCTCAACTATGTTCATAGCAGCATTGTTCGTAATAGCCAGAACCTGGAAACAACCTAGATGCCCTTCAATGGAAGAATGGATGAAGAAAGTATGGAATATATACATATTAGAGTACTACTCAGCAGTAAAAAACAAGAACTTCTTGAAGTTTGCATGCAAATGGATGGAAATAGAAAACACTATCCTGAGTGAGGTAAGCCAGACCCAAAAAGAGGAACATGGGATGTACTCACACATATTTGGTTTCTAGCCATAAATAAAGGACATTGAGCCTATAATTAGTGATCCTAGAGAAGCTAAATAAGAAGGAGAACCCAAAGAAAAACATATAGGCATCCTCCTGAATATTAACCTTCATCAGGCGATGAAAGGAGACAGAGACCCACATTGGAGCACCGGACAGAAATCTCAAGGTCCAAATCAGGAGCAGAAGGAGAGTGATCATTAGCAAGGAATTCAGGACCTTGAGGGGTGCACCCACACACTGAGACAATGGGGATGTTCTATTGGTAACTCATCAAGGCCAGCTGGCCTGGGTCTGAAAAAGCCTGGGATAAAACCGGACTTGCTGAACATAGCGGACAATGAGGACTACTGAGAACTCAAGAACAATGGCAATGGGTTTTTGATCCTACTGCACATACTGGCTTTGTGGGAGCCTAGGCAGATTGGATGCTCACCTTACTAGACCTGGTTGGAGGTGGGTCGGGGAGGGAGCCGGTGCCAACACCATAGCTTTCTACTGGTTAGCGTGTCTGGATGTATGGGTCCAGGTCTTGAGGGCCAGTGAATGGGGACGAGACCCTGAGTGTTTCTCCCCTGGCTCAGTCTTTCCTCTAGAGAGCAGGACTCGGGGCTTGTGAGGGCAGCTTGTCTGAGCTCTGGTGTTTGGAAAGTCAAAAGAGTGAAGATGCTGATAATCATAGACTATATGTGTGTGTGTGTGTTCATGGGAACATGTTTGTGCTGGTGTGTGTGTGTGTGTGTGTGTGTGTGTGTGTACACTAGAAGTCAGCCTCAGCTAATGCTCCGTGGTTTCTGAGATCTACCCTGGCTTCATCCACCATGGATTTTGAGGCAGCGTTTCTCCCATTGGCTTAGATCTCACCACACCTGCTAGACTGGTTGCCTGATGAGCAGAGATCCTCTTGCCTCTGCCTCCCCCAGCACTGGCAGTATAAACACCTTGTCTGCATTTACATACAGGTCCTAGGGACCAGACTCAGGTCTTCATGCCTGCACGGCAAGCTCTTTAACGATGGAACCATTGCCTCAGTTTCCATAGGCAATGAGTTCTTGATTTCTTTTATTTTTGAGATTATAATACATAATTACATCATCTTCCCCCTCCCTTTCTTTTCTCCAAACCCTCCAATAATACCCTCTTTGCTCTCTTTCAAATGTATGGCCTCTTTTTCATTTAATTACTGTTACATACATATATTTGTGTACATATATATATTCCTAAATACGTAAATACAAGCTTCTCAGTTTGTATAAGCCATAGACAATGTTTACTGAGCATTTTCCCTGTGCCAAGAATTGCCTGGACACATAAAAATATTTTACATAAAAATTATTCACTTGCAGCCCCTGGGATTAAACCCTGTGTCCTGACTTAGCTTTGTGACTTAGATGAGCCAGATCATCTGGAATTGACTTCCTTCTATGTCAGTTGGGATGGATGACACCAGTGCCCTCATCACAGAGACAATGGGAGCATTAGATGAACAACCTCGTGTGACACCTCAGAGACCGTGGGTGTTTAGGGGATCATTATTATGGCTGTCACCACTCCCCTCATGGTGGTCCTGGGACTTGAACAATACGCGAAGGCATTTTGTACTGGAGACAATTGTGCAAATATCAGGGCTTGGTGTGACTCACACAGACACAGAGTGTTCAGTCTGGGTGGTGGCAGGGATGGGGGCTGAGATGAGAGCCATCCCCCTGGCATCCAGGGCCAAGTGCCAGCCCAGTGGGCTGCAATGAGCTCACCAGCAGGCAGGAGGCAAGCAGGCTGCTAGTCCCCGCGCTCTTGAGGCAGAGGCAAGAGTGCAGGCACGTGGTTCCTCAGTCTGCACTGCCAACAGAATGGAGGTTCTTCCCTAGCTCTAACTTCTAGGGTGTGGGGAGTGTGTGTTTCTGTGTGTGGATGCACATGTGTGAGTGTGGGTGCGCACGCACATGTGTGCACATGCTGTGGAAGCCAGAGGTCAGTAACCAATTGCTCCTCAGGAGACATCTTCCTTGTTTTTATTTTTAAACTTTTTTTTTATCATTAAATATTTTAAAGTAATTTTTAGATGTATGTGTCTGGAGACAAACACCTTATATTTGTTTTTAATTTTTTTTGTTAATTTTTTTTATGTGTGTATCAGTGTACCTGCTTGTCTGTACATACATCATGTTTATGCAGTTCCCCAGGAGGTCAGAAGAGGCATCAGATATCCTGGAACTAGAGTCTTAGGCATTTGTGAGCCATGATGTGGGTGCTGAGAACCTGCCCTGGGTCCTCTGCAAGAGCATCAAGGGCTCTTAATCATGAAGCCATTATCCACCTTTTTTGATTGTTTGTTTTATTTTTGTGGGGAGGAGTGTTGTTGTTTTTGTTGTTTGAGACAGAGTTTGTCTTTGTAGCTAGCCCTGGCTGTCCTGGAACTTTCTCTGTACACTAGGCTTGTCTCAAACTCACAGAGATCTGCCTGCCTCTGAGGGAGTAGAAATGTGCACAACCACCTCCGGGCTCTACCCTGCTTTTTAGAGATAAGGTCTCTTCCTCGGACTTGAAGCTCATCAATTGTTCTATCCTGGCTGGCCAGGGAGCCCCGGGGATCCAAGAGTACTGTTACCCAGAGTTTCATTGGGATCTGGGATTTGAACCCAGTCCCTTGTGTTTGCACAGCAAGTGTTTCACCCCCAGCCAGCTCCCCATCTCCCTATCCCTGATTTTTGATAGCTCTAATGATGAGGAATAAGAATGCGAGTAGAAAAGAGACACATGCAGGGGTGTTCGACGGATGCCAGAAAACGAGCCTGCTTTTCCTCTGTCTCTGGGATTGTACCGCTTTCCAAACAACTGGTGGGCTCTCCCTGTGGTAGGTGGAGGGCGTTTCCCAGCCCCCAGATCTGGCTGTGCTGACACCCACTTGCGCTGGCAGAGGGAAAGTGGAGGAGGTGGTGATTGATGCGTGGGGTCCAGCCACGATTGCAGCTTTCCAAGTTTCAGCTGTGCGGCTTTGGGAAAGTGGCTTAACACGAGGGGCTCTGTCTCTCTAACTTGGGTCATCACAGATCCCACCTTGGCTGTCATGTGGCTGCAGAGCAAATGTACACAAAGCCCTTGGGAAAGTTGGGCTGTGGGATGGTTCTCACAGGTTCTGATTTAGGTAGGTGGGAACCTGAATCCAGGTTCCACCACTTCCTGAGGGCGTGGCCTTTCTAAGCTGTGGGCTTCCATCTCTACACTGGGTCTGCCACAGGCTCTCACCCCTCATCGAGGACTCCCACGCATAGAGAGCTTGCCATGGCATTGGCTTCCAATCTGGGCTGGGCGGGAAGCCTGGGGGAGGGGAGGTACTCTCCGTGATGACCACCTCATGCTGCTGATAGAGCCTCTTAGAGACGCTGGCCTCTTAGAGGTCAGCTCTAGTCCAGTTCTTTGACTGGGAAGCTTAGGCCCAAAGTAGTACTTGCTTAGGATCACAGAGAGCCAGCGGCCAGCACTGCAGCAAGGTCTCCTAGCCAGGTTCTTCCTGGGATGGCAGGGTTCTTGCTCTTCTGCAAGGTGTGTGCATTTAGGGGTTGATGACTCAGGAGGTGGACCAAGTCAGTCCTTTCGCTCTGCCCTGTGTAAGCTGGATGGAAGGGGAAGGTATCCAGGGTGAGGAAGGCCTCTAATGGATCTTCCCCGTGCACCCATCCCGTGTGGGTGTAGAGGAACCCCTGGGAGGTTGGCATCCCCCTTACCATCTGGTAGTGGCAGATTCGAAGTGACAAGTGACTGCCACAGGAGGCTGGAGGGCAGCCAGACCTAAATTATTCTCTCTGGGTCTCCATGGGGAAGCAGGTTTGAGGAGGATGGTGCCTTTCCCAGGGT